CCTCCACCACCGTCACCACCTCCACCTCCACGACCTACTCCCCCACCACCCTGCCCATCTCCTCAGAAGCCACCATTAGCCTTCCTAGCATTCCTACCACACCTGTATCGACGCCATGTTTCTGTAAAATTGGGGATGCTGTTTTTTCACGTGGTTAGTTTACCTTTTTTTGTTTTAGTGTATATATCTCTCATTTAATTCTTTGCCTTTGTTTTTCATCACATTTTTCAAACTTTCACTTCAATCTAATCACAAGTTTTACTTGGCTGTTTCATTTTTATACTGACTTTTGACCTTTTTTTTTAGTTTTGTATCTTACTGTATTTTCTTTTTCTTCTTTAGGTGAAGTGATTTACAACAAAGTGGATAGTGATGGATGTAGATTTTATGCCATCTGTAGTAGAACATGTAAGATTGAACGATACACTGTACATTGTAATGTTACTACTCCTCTAACCACTACTTCCACTGAATGGTCTACCGTAACACCACGAGTTCCTCCAACCACCAGTCCTACCATTCATATTCACGGTTGTACTTCTCCTTCTTATCCTCCCCTACAGGTATGCAGTTTATGTGTTATGTTACGATTGTTTAAATAGCACTAATGTTAGGGTGACAGGAGGAAGGACTGCAGTCTTTAAACCTTGTATGTGCAGACTGCCAGAATAAGTGTTCGTATGGATGGGCAACATACATCACATCAATTTGTATATGCCTACTTTCTAGATTTTTTTTTAATAATGACAAAGCAAGCTACAATATTTTTTCCTAATTACTTCAGTGCCAGTAAAAGACTTTCTGATGCCTTGCATTGCATAAATAACAAACCTTCTAACTGAAATAATAAAGGAAGTTTTCTTGTGCATTTTGTTTACTAAACAGAAAAATTTAAGTTACTGTGGAGGCTTGTATCCGGTTTTGTTCACCTGCCCTCTTACCTGTACTGACTCCTCATGCAGAAGAAATATCTGGAGTTAAGGTTCCCATCTCCATTTAGCATAAAAAAAATAATTGTGTACAATATTGACAACATTGTACTATCAGTGAAGATTTTCATTTTAGTCTTTGCTTCACATTTGGATAACAAAAGAGACTCTGATCCTCCATATCATGGGTTAGAATTATGAATACCTCTGGTCATTACAAATGATTAGCACCGCTAATTGAAGAGAAGTAACACATATTAATTTCCTCTCCAACACCACCATTACTGGAAACAATATCACATTAAACTAAATATATGAGTAAAGTTTGTATCTGTTTGCAATCTCCTGTGATAGTAATTTTTTTTCGTGTTGCAGCCTGGAGAAACACACAAATTATCCGACTGTACAGAAGTCCACTGTAAGGGAGACAACAAGGTGGACATAATTCCAATATACTGCCCACCTGTAAAGGAAATTACCTGTGCGAACAAATATCCAGCAATACTGGTACCTGATGAAAACGGCTGCTGTTACCGCTATGAGTGTCAATGTAAGCACCAGTAGAAAAAGGAATAACCTTTTTTGAAAAAAGCAAAACTTTGCACAGATTATATGGCTACTGTGTTTTCTTAGGGTTGCTCTATAAATTTTAGTATATTCACTTGTTTCTAAATTCTTTCTTCAACATTAATTTTCATGTTAATCTTCTAAATACTTTCTCTCTACCAGGTGTGTGCAGTGGATGGGGTGATCCTCATTATCTTACTTTTGATGGAACCTACTATACTTTCCTTGAAAACTGCACTTACGTCCTGGTGAAACAGATTGTACCTAAATATGACAACTTCCGTGTTTACATCGACAATTATTACTGCGCTTCAAAAGATGGACTTTCCTGCCCTAAATCCATTATTATTTTCTACAACTCTGCAGAAGTGGTCCTGACCCGTGAACGTGTGCATGGTGTGATGACCAATGTGGTAAAATACATGTTTTTAATTTATCTATTTTTGCAAAAAAGAAGTAAGGTCAATAGGCCTTACTGATTCTCATCTGAAATATAGTCTGTTAGAATATCACATCATGGAGGTGATGAGGGCAGAGGGTATCATTGAGGGGAAAAAAAAGATTACACCAGTTTCCAAGAACAAAATGGCAGAAACAGCTCAGCACTATGCGGATATGAATATATTATGTGTATGTATGTGTATATATAAATAACACTAGGAAACAGAATAATACAGCTGATAGAGAAGACAGAAAGAATGCTTACACTGGTGCTTGACTCATGTTTCATGAAAAGTAGAACATTGTGCCATTCATTTACGTAAACACACACATTATGAAGAAACATGAATGCAAATCACAAATGTGATTCTTCTCTCATGGTGACAACGGGTTATGTATCCCTTATGAGCTGGATGACTGGGGACTTCTTCCTCTGCACAGGGAACTTCAGGCACCAGAGCCATGACATGATTCCCCCTTCAATTACCTGCTGGGAAGAGAGGTATAGCTGAAGAAAAGGGGTGACTTGGGGTGTCACTTCACCCTCATGACCCTAAACTAGTGCTGGCAAGCCAGTAAAAATGAAAAGTCAGTCCCACTGTTACACTGGGGAATTTATTAGCTGATTAGAGAACAAAGTGGAAGGAAAAGTTTGTCTCAATACGCATTCTCCCCCTACAGAGCCACACCAAGTTCTTATCTACAGTCAGAAAGGCATGCTGAAACAATTAGTCCAGTGATTCCCTGTGAAAGAAAACTGTAACTGACAGTTTTAACTCTTACTTTATCCCAACCCAGTGAGAAGAAAGTTGCAGAATAATTCCTGACAAAATTAGTAAGCAATATGTCCACCTTCATTAGCTCAGATAAGATACAGGCTGCAAATGGAACAGCTTAGAATAACGAATAATTACGACGGCTACATAAAACTGGCACCAGGGACATTTGACTTCATTTTGAATTCAGACAACTCTTCCAATGCCAAGCAACATGTAGCATAGGGACAGTGTGATTTTGCAGCAAAGTTATTACATAATGATGGCAGGAATATTTCTGCAGTTAAAAGAAAACTACCACTCATTTTCATATGAAAAATGTTCACAATCAACAAAAATATGAGGGACACAAATAAAATACTTGGATTTAGAATGCTGTGCATTAGCACACAAACTGCACAAACACCGTACATAAGGCCACTTAGATTATTATTACACCGTGGCAATAAAGCAATACAAGCCGAGATATTAACACATATGTATGCTGTTATTGCGATGCCAATGGGCATTGGATGTGATACACAATATGGAGTCATACACAATTACAAAGATTAGAAATTACGTTATTTAAAACAGTCAGGCAGAAGCAGTGCTTATTCTGAAGTTGCATTTTTTCTAACCCTGCATTCAGATGTACTTCAACAAAAAGGTTGTCAAACCAGGCTTCAAAAAAGATGGCATTTCTTTCTCCACACTTGGCATCAACATGATCGTTCAAATACCAGAGATTGGTGCAACCATCACTTTCAGTGGGATGATTTTCTCCGTGAAACTCCCATTCAGCAAATTTGGCAACAACACCGAAGGACAATGTGGT